GAAATCGGACTTCTTGCGGCCCACCTGATTGCAGTGAAAACATAATGGGCTTGCTCCCTGTGAGCAGTCCCTGCTGACGTGACCATCACTGCCACACTTGTAGCAGCCTGAACCCCTGGAATGACAAACCCCCTCATGCAGTTTCCCGCACATGCTGCACTGACTTTGGCCCTGCCGACCTACTAATCGCTGATCTGAAGTCGTGGGTCTCTTCCCAGGACCCTCCAAAGTATACATCTGATCTGACCTCCTCTTCACAATGTGCTCCAAATCAATCTCCTTTTCCCGCACCCTGGCAATCATAGAGTCCAAGGTCGGACATGTCGAGAAGCTGACATGCTCTCGAATATCAACTCTCAACATGTCATGATAACGGGTCCTCTGCATCTCATCATCTCTTGTATACTGAGGCACCAATAAGGCCCTCTCCCAAAATTTAGCGGTAATCTCCGCCACCGACTTTGTCGTCTGTACTGGACAGCTGCTGAAGCTCCACTGCCTGCGCAAACTCTGCCCTAAACCTAGTCACAAAGTCAGACCAGGTTATAGCCTCAATGGCCAAGGCTCCCAAGGAATCACCAATTGACTCCCACCAGTCTCTGGCTCTGTCCTTCAAGCATCCTGCAGCAAATCAAACCTTTGACCCCTCGGGACAAAAGCTCGTCAACTGTGCAGACTCAATGTTTTCAATCCATCTTTTGGAAACAATGGGGTCCTTCACCCCATGGAAGTCTGGCGCGCCACACCCCTTGAAGCCCTTGAAGGAAAATGTGTGTGATTCTGATTGGCTGGATGCCATATCACTTCGGAACGCTCTGAGACGATCCTCCAACTCAATAATCCCTTCCTTGATCGACCCAAAGATGATCGGGGTTGACTCAAGGATACCTCTCGTGATCTCAGACGCGATGAACTCGTGTAGCCCGTCATTAACCTGCTCGGATCCTGCCCCCGAGCCTGATCCTAATCCTGACCCTCCTACTCCATGTTGTGTGGTCACCATACTGAAAGTAAACACATAAACGTCAGGATCATACCTACTCCCAAGAGGTCTCACACACCATCCAAGTTTCCTGGTTCCATCTCGGCCCTCCTTGACTCAAGTACGGGCCCATACTACCTTCCACATCTATCCGTACTTTTCTCAAGTACTGCCTCAACTCCACCAAGTCCCTTTAACTACTACTAACACTTCTCCTAGCACTACTCTCATCCTAGGCTTGCCCTAGGGTAACCTCCAACCCGCACCCAGTCCTCATTTACTGAAGGCATCTTTATAATTCCAATTAGCCACTACCTGAATACCATCACATGTGACGAGGCCCAGATAATCCTTCGGGTAAAGGACTCGTCCCTACAACGGTTAGACTCAAATGAGAGCTGCGAAATAGGGCCGAATCCAACACTCTGATATTATTTAACCCTGATCACATATGACTTGACGTATTCACCTAATGGCTAACTCTCATCACTCAGAGTCCCACAACGCACAAAGCAAGTAGCATTCAGATAAAAGGGAAATCTAACCAGAACATAATCAAGCAATTCTATCCACACAACAAGAATCTGTACTAGCATGCGATGTTAAGCTTATATAATCAGGCATAACCTAAACAGGCTATAATACCGTTGTCTAACTAACAATACCATGCAGTTCACACACCATATAACATGCATATAAGGCATCCTCCTAGATCCTTAGCCCTAAATCTAGCATGCTGATCACATAATCATGTCATGACATAAACTTGTATGGGTATCTTGGGGAAAACTTACTTGAGCTCGGCTGATTGCACGCATCACACACTTTGTTCTTCTCAAAGTTCTTTTCTCTTTTCAGATTCTTTTTAAACTCCTTTTTATAAAATGGTTTTACTTTTGAAAATTTTCATACCAAGCCCTTAGTTTAAGTTCATAAACACCTGAGAGTATGTCCGAATCCCTCAAACCAAGGCTCTGATACCAACTTGTAACATCCCAAAACTCAAGACCAAATTTTTTGCTTTAATTAAGTTATTATATAAAACCAACATTATAAAAACATTCATATTAATATCTCATGTCAAACCAAAGTGTCAATAATCAAAACATATTATCATAAAACCATATCATAGTGTAATCCTAAAGATCTCATGTGCGGAAAACGTAGTGTGATGCACTGCGATCGAGCCAGCTCCTTTCCTTGAAAGCAAGGTACCTGAAACCAAAACTGAAAACCGTAAGCACGAAGCTTAGTGAGTTCCCCAGATATCACATACCATACATACTAACTGGTCCATACATGCCATACATAACCAAGAGCCATTCATAACAAACATATCCATAATCAAGTAAGGTGCTATATGCCAAACATAGTCTTGCGGGTATGCCACGGGCCGCACGTGGTCTTCCTGGTCAAGCCTGGGGCCACTCCCTCGGTCTTACAGACAAGTGCCAATGGCTACCCCTTGGTCTTCCATGCAAGCATCACCAAGACAACTATACATACTACTCTACTAGGCAACGCAACATATAGTGTTCCCGGAGCCACCTCCCGTTTTTTCATATATAATAGCATACAGTACACCAGGAGCCACCTCCTGGTCTTTCGTACATAATAGCATATAGTGCCCAAGGAGCCACCTCCCGGTCTTTCATACATATTGCCTAGGGCTAACCCTCGGGTCTTCCTGCCATACGTAATAACATATTGTGTGCCAGGAGTCGTCTCCCGGTCTTTCATGCGTAATGCCTAAGGCTAACCCACGGTTATTCCTATCTTACATAAACTAAATGGGTCGGCATTGCAGCCATAGACCCATACAAACAGTGAGGAGACTCACCTCGCACTGCCGAAAACTCGTTGAACACCTCTGACTGCTAACCGGCAACTTCTGAATCGCTGACTCTTCGGCTTCCTGAACTATCAATACCCAAAATAACATTTAGATCAATAATCCAAAAGTCAAACCTGGTCAAACTTGGTCAAAGTCAACATCCAGTTGACCTGACTCGCCGAGTCCATACTCCTCCAACCCCATACAACCCCGAATCCACTCGTCGAGTCTAGCAATAACTCGACGGGTTCTCCTTCAACCACTCAATCGGGACCAACTTCATCTGACTCGCCGAGTTCATCATTAAACTCGTCGAGTTCATCATCCACATATGAATGTGTCTAGCCTGTGACTCGTCGAGTTGTATGAACAACTCGTTAAGTCCATCCTTATAACTAAGGAGATTGCCTTAGACTCGCCGAGTTCTTCCTTGAACTCGTCGAGTACGATGAACTTCATGACCATTATGGACTCAGACGGGCTGAGTCCATTTCCAATCTCAACTCATACCCTTAACAGAAGGGTTTTGGGGCAAGAACTGGCCTGACTCGCCGAGTCCCACTACTGACTCGTCAAGTCTTTCTATGTCCAACACTATTCCGATGCTTTCAGACAAGCTCAACGCATCCAAGACCCATATTTGGCCTCCTAGGGTCGGGATATCACACAAAGTTGCTACCTTTGCACCCTTGCATGGCCCTTTTTGCTCAAAAGGCCATAATAACCACTTAAACTTTGCATAGGGAGTTCTAATGGCATAAAGCTTCCACCTTTATGCTTTTACTACTCAAGACACTCCTAGATCTAAAAGGATCTAGATTGGGGACGTCCAAATCCCATAAGAGATCATCCTTGGTCCATAAACTTCATAAAAAGGGACATAAAGAGATATAACAAGCTAGAAGGCAAGGAAGGAACTTGATTACCAAAATGGGCAACAAGTGGAGTGAATCTTCTGGATCTACTCCTTCCTCCTTGAACCTCCAACCTTCTTCTTGTTCCTCCAAGCTTCAAGGATGCTCCAAAATTCCCAAAATGACTCACAACTCAAGGAGGCTCTAGGGTTTTCGTTCTGGACTTGAGAGAGTATCAAGGGGCTGATGAAGGCTATAATGTTCCTTAAATAGGGTGCATGGCCCTCATTTACGGGTTTTCCCCAAACCTGGCCAACTCGCCGAGTCAGTCTTCTGACTCGTCGAGTAGGTCACTAAACCGGCGACCAAATCGCGCTCCTACTCGTCGAGTCACCCATTTACTCAACGAGTCACTTCCTCATTTGAGGTTTTCTTCTCTTTTCTGGCCTTTTTGAATTCAGGGTGTTACATAAATATTAAGATTTAATCTTGATTCAAATCATTGTCTTATTTGTTATTTTGATTGATTCTGGAAGCCTCCTAAGATTCCCTTAAAACTGTTCACACCATAAGGGTTTCAAATGTTCTCATTGCTAAACTAGTGAACAATTAATATTCAATCCTTGTACCTTCAGGTTAATTCTAATTAATCTCAAATTAATTATTATTAATTTTGATTAATTTGCAATTAACTTCTAATTAGTTTATTAACTTGTAATAAATCAATTAACTAGTTATCTCACTCTCTTATTTATTTTCTAACTGTTTTAGCTTTTGAGAGAAACCCAAAAATAATTGTTATTATTTTCAAAGTTATGCCTATTAGTTATGAGATTAGACTACTATTTCCAGCAATATTATGTTCATTAGTGTATAATTTTTAGTGTTTTTATGAGTGTTTGTCATCAATAAAAACTAAAACAAATTACACGAGAAGTTCATTTGGTTTGAGGTAATTTGGGACTAACAATAAAAGTAATTTTTTTTTATATCTTTTAGTATAAAAAGCGCTTGATAACATCGAAATAATTTTTAAGTATGCATATTTCAATCAAAAGCGAACGTCATCGGTTTTGCACATGAATCATTTGACTTCGTTTTTAAAAAACACTTGATGAAGACGGTATGCGTTGTAGCAAATGACTTGAATGTGCTTTACAAAGAAAAGATCGAGACATCGTAACCAACGTCACTTATTAAGCCGATTAAGGAAAAATTGCAAACCATAAAGCCGATGGATGGAATTTTTTTGTGTATTCAACTTAGTTGAGTAACAAAATAAAAAAATTTCTAGAAAACTTTTTTGACTAAAAAATGTAACAAAATAAAAACATGATATAAAAACCTACCTATTGAGAAGACATGGTCTACTTTTGTAACTTAGCATTAACTTCAATTAAAAAAAAAAGGAGGCGACATTTCTTGAAATCCAGCTTGCAGATGCTGAGATGAGGAAGATAATTGTTAGTTGTGACAATTTCAAATATTAAATTCGTATTCCCCTCCACGTAGGGCACTGAAAATTTATTCAGAAAGAGAAAAAAAAAAAAAAAAAAGTTGAATAATTTTTTTGGCAGTGGAAGTTAAAAGTGCCGGGGAGGAGGAGATTACAACACTCTTCTTGCCTCCCCACGTCTTTAAAAAAATGTAATATCAGGCGATTAGTTTACATCGACTAATCATAATCTTTCGTTTTCCTTCTGCTTTAGGTAATAAATTCCATCAAGATTCATACCAGTAACGTTCCTTTCAATTTTGATTGCTACCCTTAACGGATTTTTTGATTTATTTATCATCATTTGCTTTCCGTGTTCCTCCAGATCGAGATCAGAAGCTTTCCGATTGTGCGATCAAGTTCGTTGAATGATCTTATAATTCATTTGCATTGGTGGGTATCGTTCAATCGATCCTAAATTCGACTTCAATTTACTTTTCCCCTTCAATTCGGCCGACTTTCTAAATTTAGCAGCCGAATTCACTTCATGATTAGAGCTGTGTGATTCTGATTCACTACATTCCAGCTGCTGAGTTCATCTAGGCTTGACGAGTTCTTATTTTGCAGAAAAGTTCTTGAGAAAAATGGGGGTTATGTCAAGGCGGGTTTTACCCGTCTGTAGCAACCTCTGTATATTCTGCCCTTCGATGCGAGCGAGATCACGACAGCCAGTTAAACGATATAAGAAGCTTCTTGCAGATATATTTCCTCGATCGCAGGTGAATAATTTGACTTGTATGCTATTCATTACTTTATTTGAGTTGAATTTTACTGAAATGTGATTTGATTTGATCGAATCCCTAGTTAAGTGTCTAGTTTACTGTTATAATGTACCACTTAATCCTACAATAAGTATTAACCATGATGATCATTCAAGGATAGAAGCAATTTGAGGAAAATATTATATTTCTAATGAATCTATTAGGCATAGAAGGGATCCTCTATAGATTTTCTGCCTAAAATACTCAGAATTTAGTGATGCCAACTTTGCTATTATGATAGATGACAATCACGAGCATGATTTTTGTATCTTAATGGTGAATTTTATAATTACTCTAATTATAATCAACTTCAAATTCCAGAATGCTGAGCCAAATGATCGAAAGATTGGGAAGCTTTGTGAATATTCTTGTAAAAACCCTTTACGTATACCAAAGGTAAAGCTTATATCACTCATCTAAACTACCATATTAATGATCCCATGCTCTTTTGACTTTGTTTTTTCAATCTATCTAAAGACTCTGTTTCTTTTTTCCATCAAGTGTTGTTTGGATAAATGATGTTTAAAAAATATTTGAGAAAATGGCAAGACACTTGAGGAAATGGAAGGAAAAAAGAAATGTGGGCAAATTTGTAACATGTTAGGACTTAATGAGGAAAGCCTCATTCCTCTGACTTTCTCCATTAAGTAGTTCTTTCTGCATTAAGTCAAAAAGAAACACCTTAAAAGGGCTTATGTTAGTTTATTTATATCTTATGTCATTTGAATAACATTTGTTACAGATTACAGATTACCTAGAACAGAAATTTTACAAAGAGATGCGCAACAAAAACTTTATCTCTGTAAAAGCTGTTTCACTTGTTTATGGGAAATTGCCATCTTCATGTAAGGAGCAGATGTAAGTTGAAATGCATTAACTATCTTCACTTAAAGTTGAATTTTGCATAATAATGTATTCAATCCAAGTTTTTTCAATATCTTCAGGCCACTTTTTGCTAGTAGTTTGTTGGGAATTGTTCGGACACTATTAGAACAAACTGATAATGATGAAATGCGAATTCTTGCTTGTCAGACTCTTGTCAGCTTCATAAACAATCAGGTAGTTAGAATAGTTCTTTAGGTTAAATGCAAGAAATAACAACATTCTTTCATGGATTTGTTTATTATAGAATCATACTTTTTCATTACTTTCTATTACAACATTGCACTTCGAAAAATCTACTCAATTACAACAATGCCATTCAATTTTTCAATAACAAAAAATTGAATGGCATTGTTGTAATTAATGATAATTAACTTCTTAAAAAATACAGGTGGATGGGACTTACATGTTCAACTTAGAAGGCCTCATTCCCAAACTTTGTGAACTTGCTCAAGAAGTTGGAGATGATGAAAGAGCATTAAGGTTGAGGTCATCAGGGCTTCAAGTTTTGGCTTTCATGGTAAACATAATTTTTCTTTGTTATCTTTATCATTTATAATATCGATAATTCTTGACAACTTAGTAATAGAAAAGATCATTCCTTATCATTTTCCTCTTTAGTTTCTGTAACTTTTGGAGCTTCACTTAAGGTATTGTGAATACATGGTACTCTCTAATGATATAACCTAAAATACCCTTTGCATAATTTCTAATATTGTTCTTGATTTTGTTTTCTAGGTTCGATTTATGGGGGAGCAATCTCATATCTCTATGGACTTTGACAATGTACGTTCTACTTCTTTTTGCTTTTCTTCTGTTCTCTATAAACTTTTTTAGGTAGATTTTTAATGATGAGGATGAGGAGGGTATTTACGTCTTGTTTAGAGATCGAGAATGAGTCCATGTCTGATCTTGTTCCACCTTTTTAACAAACGGGACCCACTTGATTTTTTTTTTCTATTTTTTTATTTGAATTGATATTCAAAATCTTGTTTTTGTTTTAAAAATAGATTGTATCAGTAACCTTGGAGAATTTTATGGACACACCAAACACTGACCATGAATCATCATCATTAATGGATGTAAACAAGATGATCACAAATGTTGTTAACTTTAAAACGGATGTTCCCATGGGGTAAGTGGGGTTATGTTATTTATGTATACAGATATTAAATTATTCTTCCTCATTTAAAAGATTTATATCAATTATAGCTTTTGTTTTTGAAAATGTTACAGGGATGCAAACAGAAGCCCCTCTTATTGGTCGAGTGTTTGCTTGCATAATATGGCGAATTTAGCAAAAGAGGCAACAACTGTTAGACGTGTACTTGAACCTCTTTTTCACAATTTTGACACTGAAAAGCATTGGTTCCCTGAAAAAGGGTTGGCTTTTTCTATTTTAAAGTATCTGCAGATGGTGTTGGAGGAATCAGGTAAATGTTGATTCTTTTTGTTTTTTGATTCAAGTATATATATATCGATTAGTAATAGGGTTAAATGCAAGAAAAAGCTAGTTACTTTCATTTATTTCTTCCTATTATAGTGTTTTACTTCGAAAAAACTTTGTACTTACAGCATTATCATCCACATACAAAACAATTTCTACAGCTATAATTGACTAGATTGTTCAAGTATATATAATAAAATGACTTGATAAGAAAAAAGAAGCATCCTACTTTTTTTTTGCATTTAGCATGTAGTTTTAACGGTTTTATAGTATTAACATTTTTTCCACTTTGAATTCAGATGACAAATCACATCTACTCTTGTCTATCTTAATCAAGCACCTTGATCACAAAGATGTTATGAAACAACCAGTTATTCAGATGCACATTGTGAATGTTGCTACACAGCTTTCACAATATGTAAAGCAGCAGGCATCAGTCCCCATTGTTGGAGCAATAGCTGATCTCATTAAACATTTACGCAAATGTTTGCAGAATTTATCTGAGCCATCGAGTCCTAGAGTGGGCCCCATTAGCTCTTATATGGATCTTCAATGTGCTTTGGAGAATTGTATCTCAAGTCTCTCACATAAGGTTCTTTATGTCCCTTAGTTATTTGATGCTTTTAGTTGGCTTTTCATATATGCAAGAGTAAATCACAAAAAGGGTCCCTTTGCTTTTCATGATTTTTACTGTGTTTGGTCCAAAATTGATTTTTTTTTCCAGTTTCGGTCCCTCAAACCTTAATAAATGACCACAGTTGATATGAAACCTTAAAATAAAGACGAAAATCGTTACAAAACCTTGAAATAAGGACCAAAATTGAAAAAAAGTTTTGATTTTAGACTAAAACACAGTAAAAATAGAAAGTATAGGGACCATTTTTGTCATTATCTTAATATTAAATTAGGGCAAAGTACATAAAAGCACAACATACTTTCACCATTTTTGGATTTAGCCACTTAACTATTTTCATTAGTGATTGAATCATTATCTTTTTTTTACCCATTTAAAAAAAAAACATTTTTTCTGGTTACTCAGTTTTGATAATATAGAAAATCACAACGTACTTTCATCAATGTTATAATATCATAATCCTAAACCGGGAAAATTTGTTTTTTAAAGAGTAAAAAAAGTATAATGGTTGAATCACTACAGAAAATAATTGAGTGGCTAAATTAATAAAATAGTGAAAGTACAGATGTTTTTGTGTATTTTTCACTTTAAATTAAATTGTACTTTACTTGATGATTTGTAGGTTGGAGATGTGGGACCCATTCTTGATTTGATGGCTGTAGTGATAGAGAATATTTCAGCAACTCCTACTATAGCTAGAACAACTATGTCTGCTCTTTATCGCACTTCACAAGTTATCAGTTCCATTCCAAACATTGCCTACTACAAAAAGGTAAGGGTATTTTGGTCATTTATTTCAATTCCTTCCATCCATGAAGGAATGAAATCCATTAAACATGGAACCTGAAGGATCCCAATGGAATTGAATTCCGTCCATTTGCCAACCAAACATGCCATGTCATGTCATGGAATGGAATCTCATATTCCAATTCCACCGCAATCCACGAAACAAACACCTCTTAAATATGCATCAAATTACATATAATGAATGTTTTCGGGTCTTTAACTTTTCAGGCATTCCCAGATGCTCTGTTTCACCATTTGATCTTAGCAATGTCACATCCAGATCATGAAACACGAGTTCTTGCACATCAAGTATTCTCCAATGTGCTTATGCCAGCTGTAAGTCAGCCTTCATCAGGTTATAAAGCTGACAAATCTGAAACCATAGATGAAGAAAATCATGCCATGGAATCATCATCTCGTGGTGGAATCACCCATTCTTTGCCTAATGGGAAAACAGTATGATGCAACTTCTCTCTTGAATTCATCATCATACTTCTTTTTTCTGTTTCTTCATTAATCTTTGGTATGATGGAATCAAGAAAGGAACGGAATGCTTCATTCCAATTGGAATAAAAAAAAAAAACTTGCGTGTTTTGAATGATGGAATGGAATGAAGAACTCATTCCATTCCATTCATTCATTAATTCCATCCTATCCAACCAAAAAGACTCTTAATGTAGATACTCAATCATTTATGTGATTTTTTTTTTAATTCTATAGATCTCAAGTTCCTTGAGACTGAGTCGCCATCAAGTGAGCCTTGTGCTATCATCAATCTGGATTCAAGCAACATCTCCCGAAAATACCCCTGCAAATTTCGAGGCAATTGCACACACATATAGCCTTGCTTTATTGTTTACTGTATCAAAGGTGATGTTTCAATCTCAATCCTCAATATTCCACCTAATCAACATTTCATACATAAAAATTCAAGAAATCATATATTCATCTCATTTCTTCTTTCTTCAGAATTCAAATCATGTGGCACTAATCCGCTGCTTCCAGTTGGCATTTTCCATTGGAAGCACCTCACTGGATCAACAAGGTAAAGATTAACAATTTGACATTCAAATATTCAATCACACCCCTCATTAAATTTATACTTTTTTCAAATTAATTTTTGGTATAAATTGATTTTTGACTTCTTGAAGGTGGTCTACAAGCATCCCAGAGAAGATCTCTCTTCACATTGGCATCTTACATGCTTATTATTTCTGCAAAGTCAGGCCATATTTTGGAGCTGATTCCAATAATTAGATCAACATTGACCAAAGAAACGGTTTGTTTTTGTCATAGAATTAGCAACATACTTTTACTCTTTTTATAGAAATATGTAATGTACTTTTTATATTGCTATTTTTCAATGCAGATGGATCCTTATCTTGCAATAGATGAAGAAGATATGAGGCTGCATGTAACTTCAACAAAACATGGTGAAGATAATGGCTATGGATCACAAAGAGATGAAACTGATGCAATGAAAGCACTTTCTGCAATCGAGTTAAAGGATCAAAAGTTGAAGGACACACTTTTGTATCATTTGTTATCAAAGCTTGAAGATTTATCAGAGGTTTGTTTATTGTTCCTTTCGTTAATTTGTAGGGCTGAATTTAAAACTGATTATAATCATCCTACTTTTACAAATTATTTAAACCACAAAACATGACACTTCACTATATTTAAAACTGATTACTTATAATCATCATCTTTATATTTCTACAGGAAGATGAATTAAATATGAAGACACAGCTTTCAGAGGGATTCTTCCCTGATGATGAATACCCTTTGGGGGGCCCACTATTTATGGACACACCTATTCCATGTTCTCCAGTTGCCCAAACGGATTTCCAGGCTTTTGATGAGGTAATAATAATTCTGTCTTTCTTTTTTGGACTGAATGAACTGTGAGAAAATGACGATTTTACCCTTGGATAGGTGATGCCTCATGCTGATGAGACAGATGAGGATACGTTTCAAGACCAATACGGAAGCCAATCAGCTCGCAAAGATTCTCTCTCCATGAATTCACTTGACATTTTAAGTGTTAATCAGCTTTTGGAATCGGTATGTCTGTTTTTTAATCTTTTTTTGGAAATTAAAAAACAAAAAGATAATGATAATTAATATTAAATATTGTGTTTGTTTAACAGGTGCTGGAAACAGCACGTCATGTTGCAAGTTTGCCTGTTTCCTCAACTCCTGTAAGTTATGATCAAGTGAAAGATGAATGTGAGGCTTTAGTAACAGGAAAACAACAGAAAATGTCTGTGCTTCAAAGCTTTAAAAAGCAACAAGATAACAACACAATGTTGATTCTTTCTGGTGAAAATGGTAAACAAGATCAAATTACATCATACAATGTAAGAATCTTGACTTTTTTATTTTTAAGTTTCTGTGTCCCTAAAAGCCTATATTTGATTTTTCGAAATGTTTTTTTAACCTTTTTTTTATAGAAAATGGAGCTCCCAGAAGATGTTAAATTGTTAACAAATGGGGAGCAAACTGATCAACTTGTTTCTTATACAAAACTATACAGTCAACAACAGTCTTTTAGGCTTCCACCTTCAAGCCCATATGACAAGTTCTTGAAGGCTGCTGGATGCTAATAAAGTTTCAGTTGTTTTTGGATACATGGATTCACTAATGATTTCTTGTTATAATGTTTTTTTTTTTCCCTCATAGTCTTGGTGTTATATAAAAGTTTGATTTTTTTTTTTTTTGTTCTTTTTCAGAAGTAGAAAAAGAAGGTTTTTTGTTTTGTTGTAGTGTATGTAGTTGTGGGACAAAATGTTGTGTTTTAGATGATAAAATGTTGGAAGTGAATATTGAATAGTTGTGTTTCTGTTTTTATTTTCATTTGTGTTGAGGTGTGGTTCGTATTTGTGTGTTGTCTTTGACCATGAGATTTGCAACTAATTTGATTGATATTATTTTAAAATGTTTTTTATTTTTTTTTTCAGAATATTTGTTTGCTCGTTATCATACTTTGCATATGTTATTCTTTCGTATGTTATCATACCGAAATGGAGTATCATAAGGATGCAATTTAAACAATCTAAACAAGTTCAATTGTAATACCCGAACAAAAATAAAAAATAATAAAATATATAAAACTTAAAGAGGCTAAATATAAACAAAGCCTAAACTATGTTACCTACATCTTTAACGTAAACAGTCCAAACAAGTCAATGATAATATGTTACAAAAAAAACTTAAAAGGACTAAACGTAAACAAAACTTAAACTATTATTACGCTGATTCTATCCTTCTTCAAAAAGATCAACTTGGTTACAACAATTTGATAACTCAAATTGAGCATTATTATGTCAAATACACAAACAATACAAAGCAAAATACCAATTGTGTTCTAACTTCTAAAAGCCAAGTGATGTGCATCTTTTGAAGCAATTTGGACAATAAAACCTCTCACCCCCAACATTTGCAGAACACTTCAAAAGTTATAAAAAGAATATGCACTCCTATGCTTCAACTAACATAGTGCAATCTCCCAATTCCCAAATCACTATATTTCGTCAATTCCACTTGTGCAAATCTAATGATATTATACAATCTAAAATCACTAAAAAAAAAACTGAATTTCGTGTTTCATTCTTTTGGCACAACCAAATCACCACATTTGTAAGCCAATAACAACTCATCGGCGTTATCTCTGTTCTTAGATATGAACTTCTCCAAGAACTCATCTTCAGGCAACCACATCACATTAAGAAACTTCGGTGTCTTCTTCAAAATCTTTTTTGATGTCAAAATATTTAAAATTTTATACCTGGGAATCACTCGTTCTTCCAAACTAAGCATCAAACAAGTAGGTCGACGAACTAACACAGCCTTATCAAACTTAACTGTATTTAAGAAGAATTCAATCCCAAGATTTAACTTTGATTCAGATACTCTAAACAATCCAGGAGCCCTTTTAAACATATCTGAACATTCGACTTTAGTGAACCCAAATGATTGGAATAATTTAAACTTTCTTTTAATTGTTTCATCACTCATACAGCTCAAAGTATACAGAGCATGAACCAGCATTCTTGAATCGAGTGAGAATCCCATGTCTAACACCTTGGATACAAGATCTTTAAGCTCTGATTCACCCATTATCAACAGTCTTGGTTGTCTTGTTGTAATTGTAACAAGTTGTGACCCAACAATTCCGCATTGTTCTAAGTATTTGATATTAGCAGAGATTCTTGTCACCGGTTGCTTAATATCAGCCCAATTACATCTTGTCAATGTTCGAATCAGATTCTCATTGTCATGATTCATCAGCTCTTTTATGACATCAACACAGGGTTTCAGCCGTTCAAAACGATTAGATAAGTAACCTGGGTTTTTGGAAATGAACTTACTCAGTTCTGAACCAGCGAGACCCAAATTTTGAAAAAACTGAATCCTTGGTTTTAGGGTTTTTTCGGCGTCTGCGAAAAGGATTTGAGGAGATTCGTCTACCCAATTTTGAATATCGGTGCTGTTGAATCCGAGAGACTTTAAGAGTTGAATAACGGATTGTGGGTTGGTCTCGGAGGATGAAAACCGAGTGGATAGTGAGAGGGCTCGTGGTTTGGAAAATCCTAAGGATTCTGTGAGGTAATCAATAATGGAGGATTTAAATGGCGATGGGGATGGAATGGTGTGAAGATAACGAGAGAAGAGATTCGCCATTTGAGCTCGGAGGTCTTGTACACCCTGTTCTCGTGTTTAAAAATGAAGGGAAGCGAAGGGGAAAACAATTAATCAGTTGTGTTCTAGAGTTGAGAAGCAGATGCAAGAAAAAATGGGAGGCATAAAGGAGAAATCGATAATACCAGGTGAAATCGCAAAGCAAATGCAGAGAAAAATCAGAAGCCTTTTTCTGCTTGATTGAGAAGCCGAAGGGGTGTTTTGGCAAACCTTATTAAAACACTTTGTTAGCTAAATAACCTATTCTACATTTTTATAAATAAAAAAAATTTCGGATAAAAATAATTTATTTAGGTGAAAAAACTCTCCTAAATCAAATTTTTCATAAATTATCTCACACTTACTTATTAGTTTATAAATCAATAAGCTATAAGCTAATAAACACTAAGTTTTCTTTGCCAAACACTCCGAAGTCTAAAGTTGTGCTCCCTTTATTTGTTGAACGTCCGAAGAAATAAGGCCAAGGGTAGAAGCGTCTTTTTCATATGTTTCTCTCCCAGACATCCAAATGAAGTTTTTAACCGGATTGGTGTTTTGGAAAACATATTTACCATTAGTACTTTTTAAACATATCAACATAAGGTTTTTTGGTAATTTAGTAAAAAAGAAAAAGCCATGGTGCCCTAATACCATGTTCCGAGTTTCATTAAAGAAAGGAAAAAAATGAAATGAAATATGAAAAGAAAAGAAAGGAGGTGAAGGGAAAGTAAGTTGCATTTTTCTGTTATCGAGTTCAAAAGAAATGAAAAGATAATTATTTTTCTTTTGTGTTTCCGAGTTGAAGGAATAAGAAATGGAAACTAAAAGTGGATAATTATACAATTTTCACGTTTTTACCACAATTTCAAATCTATACCACACAATTTCAATGCCTAAACTTTTTTTTGCCACTGTAGCATGCCTCTCGACTTCTTTATTTTTTTTCACATGATTACTTATACAAGAATCATAGGTAAATCATTAACGCATCACTTATTATTAATCAAACGTCAACTATGTTCATAATTTGCATTACTTTTTCAACCAATACCAATCACAACCACTCATAGTGGAAAAAAAAGTCAAAAAACCCCAAAATGAATAACTTGTGCATAACATGATGTCAATGTAAAGGTAATCAAACAGATTCATACTCAACAAATTCCAATGAATGAACTCAAACCAAAAACCAAAAATATAAAGTCAAACTCATAAGCAATCAAAAACTATCATCCTAAGTAAGTCATTTACCAACATTCATCATTTTTTTCAGCAAACCCTTTTGTTATGTGTCCAGAATAATGGCATCATGTAGAAGAAACAAAATTAGGAAATCATTATATAAGGAGAAAAGAATGAAACCTGATGTAAGCCTTGCTGGGATGTTGAATTGATGACAGAGGATGAAGAAGCAATATTTTTGTGCATGTTGTTGTTGTACGTGAAATTCTTATATAGGGTTCAACGATAGTTTGGTAATCATTAGGTTTCTATGTTTATCATTGATTATCTTCTCTCCAAATCCCTCCAATTTGGGTGGAAGATTAGGAGAGAAAACGTTCCTCTGACTTCCTTTCTTTTCTTCCCAAAACATTCTAAACAAAAAACTCGAGAACACGATTGACTCCTTCTTTCTCATTGATTCCCTCCTTTTCTCTCCACTTTCCTTGTTAAATGAGATTGGGAATAGGGTGTAACTCTCATTATTACCAGAATGATTGAAAGACACGTTGTGACACCAATCTCCATCAATAACCGTCAACCCTGGCGACTCCACTGCAGGAGGCGAGATAGTCGGCAACTCAACTCCAGTCGCACGACAACAATTCTATCACATGTAAGATTTTCGATTTCCATCACATGTTCGATTTTTCAACCTTAATCTTCAATCATATCGGTTTTTTTAACTACAAGAAACGATTCTATTGACCCTCAGGGTTCAATTTCTATATTTTTTTATTTCCATCATAGGTTTAATTTTTTGAACTATAAGAAATGGTTAGAGCACAATTTGTTAGCTGATTGTTTCTCTGTTTGTAACGTCTGGAAAATACTAAGTAAAAATTTTATTTAAACTCAACCAAAAACCATCAATCATTCATTTCAAAACCCATAAAAGTGTGAAAATGTAGTAAAATAGTTATCAGAGCACAAATCATAACTCAACGTGTGGAATGTTGGTGGATGCGATGCAATCACGTTGAGCTTTTCCCCTTGGAATCGGAAGTACCTAAAAACATTAAACATAAAAACGTAAGCACAAAGCTCAATGATTTCCTCGAAATTCCACATATCATACATACATCGGGACCCGCCCGATTAACAGGCTTCTCTTTAGCATGTAGTGGGCACCGTCCAACAGATATAGAGGGCCCCGCCTAAACATACATACAAATACATGCAAGAGTCACACAGACATGTAGCATCCTATAAACATAATCCAATAGGCCGACATTGGTGCCTTCGACCCAAAAATATTGTGAGGAGACTCACCTTAATCCGAAGATAACCAAATCTTACACTCATTGCTGCTACAAAAGCTCCTCACACTGAACATATCCAAAACAATACTAATTAATAGTTAAAGTGATGACCCATAATCAAAGTTCCATTTCATACTCTCTCTCTCTCTCTCTCTCTCTCTCTCTCTCTCGCTCTAGTATAAAAGACCATTTTATACCTCCAAGGCTACACCCCACCCTAACATGACCTAATGCTAAAAAATGATCCATAACACCCTCTGATCGTATGCCATGTGGTTTGTATAAATTGGATACATTTCAAGTATAATAAACAACAACAAACTAACTGATAAAAATACAGAACAGGAAAGTAAAGAACATAAAGAATTTCACTAAATTGTCTTTCACCAAGAAAGGGTTTTGTCTTCACCAAGAAGACGGGTTCTCACAAAGACGGTCTCCAAGATGATTACAACACCAAGCCGTTCTACATTCGGGTTTCACCCTAATGTTGTATATATATATATATACACACACCCACACACACACTAAAATAATCTAGTGAATCCCTTAAATCAATGGATTGTATCTAATCTACATATAAACAGATCCTTATCACCAAGATATCGGATATGTTATCTATCTATATTTAGAGAGTGTAACTACATAATATACAAAGATATCTTCCTAATATATATATATATATATATATGTGTGTGTGTGTGTGTGTTATCTTCCTAATATGTATAAATGAGATCTTCCTAATATACAAAGATCACTAAGATCATGGGATCATGTTGACGTTGATCATTCTGGAGCTAACGTTGGCGTTGATGCTGACGTTGGCGTTGGCACTGGTGATGGTGATCAAAGTGTAATTCTATTTGACTCATCAGATTATAATGTGTGACCTTACAATCTCCCCTTATCTAATGATGTCAAAACTAATCTTTAAAAAGTTCTTCAGCTTTAACAAATCCCCCCCTGATAAGGTGTATGACTCTTACCAATTTTGGTTATCAGTAGTAGAAGTAGTAAGAGCAGCGGAAAAAATCAGTGTATCATGGGTTGCGGCGAACTAACAGATGATAAGGATATGATAGAATGTTGATATCATCGCCCCCTTAGATTTTACTCCCCCTTATATAATCAACATTTGAGTTTTTCTCCCTTAGATGTATAATCTTCTTTCAAGAGTGTTTACTATGAATGATCAAATAGCAATGTAGCATAACTATACTTTTCTCTTCCTTTTATGACAACATCAATATGTACTACCTTTTTTTAAGAATACAACAAATAATCCTTAAAGAAAACATCAAAAAAAGTTAGAGGATGAAATATGTGTATCACATTATTATGTTATTGCAATAGCAGATCATTTACATAGAGTTGTGTAATAGCCCAATTTTTCAAATAAAAATTTTCATTTAAATAATAATCCATGTTCCTTAATTGTAAATTCCAACCATTAAGTATTTCTCAAAAATCCATTACATCGATTAAATTATCAAAAGATTAGAGTGTCCATAAAAAAATGTTGGAGAGTGCGTGTTGCGCCATCATGTCAGGCCCTTGCCCTTAGATCCCGAAGTACCTGAACACAACCAACAAAATTGTAAGCTAATGCTTAGTGAGATCCTTATAACATACCACACATATAATCATATAAGTCCACATACGCCATGCATACAAACAAACATGTAAGGAAGCCATGGAAACCCTCCTTGGTCTTACTCCAGATGCCATGGGAACCCCTACATGGTCTTAACCAACTGTCATGGGAATCCCCACATGGTCTTCACACGAGTACATAACATATTGATAGCACTTCCACAAATGATCATTATAGCTAAATAACATGGGCCAGCCTTGGTACCTTCAACCCATTGGTATGGTGAGGAAACTCGCCTCAATCAGCTGAACACGAACGCTGCTTGTCTAATAGTCCGAAATCACATACTGAACAAAATACAATAAACCCTAAATTAGGATTATAACATAGTCTAATTAAAGATTCCAAACACCTAATCCCAAGTCCTTCCATAGTGGCCCAAAAGTCTTTCCTTTTCTAATGGGCCTAAGGTGCATGATAAAACTATTAATGGGCTATATAGCCCAATAAGTCCTTACCAAAACAATTATGGCCCAACTCAAAATATCAGCCGACAACTCTAAATGGGACCAGACCTAACACTGATTAAAGCCCACTATGCCTATAAGCCCACACAAAGCCCAAAATCCAACTGGTGTGCGTGCGCCTTACGTACCACTCCAGTACGCCCAACGTACTGACTGAGAAGTTATACGCTGATGTACGTACAACTTGCTACACACGGCGTACAAAACATGCTATGCCACCTAAAGCTTGAACACCACCTTCTCCTTGTTGAATGCTCTTTAAAAGGGCCACCAACACACTTTCTAAGCTCAAGAATCACATTCACAAGGAAATCTGAGGTTAAGGGACGATATAAGGCTATAGAGGCTGGTTAGAGTTGATGTGTTTTGAGCATTCTAACACTTCCTAAGTGTACATGCAACCCTAATAACCTTGGATCTATGTTTGTCTAATTATCATGCAAAGTTGTTTTCCAAGGTTATGAACCTATCTAGCATACATAGGGTACAATTTTCTTTGTATAAAAGATAGAACTACATACCTTGTTGTTGAAAGTGTTCCTTGAAACCTTATGAGCCTAGCACCTCAAGTGTGATGCCTCAAATGCTTCACACAACACCAAATGCAAAGAATAACTTGAGAGAATACTCTAACACATGCAAAATCGGCCAAGCCCTCTTGTTTCTTAGTGTAGCCGATTTTGGGGAGAGTTACATTGCTTATATAGTGTGTTACATTAGGTAAACCCTAATGTTCCATGACTCTTCATTTCTTGATCCATGGGTTAACTCCATGGAGCATCCTATGGGTGGAACCCAACTTGATAATCCATGGAGCCTCTTAGCCCACTATATAAGATATGGAAGATTTACTTAATCTACCTATATATCTAATTAGTTATCTTTTAATCACTTAATTAATTCTAAATTAATTCTTGATCAAAACTAATTAAATAATATTATTAATATATTAGAACTTATAATATATTAATAAACCATATGTGTTATTTCTCTCATTTAGTTTATCCAATTGCATGGTGCCATGCAACCCAAATGGACCATGCCGGGTCGGGTCAAGTATTTACCAGAAATAGTTATGGACTTAGACACCTTATCCAACAGTCTCCCACTTGGATAAGTCTAATAACTATAACTGCAATACTTCAGGAACCGATCGGCAATCGTAACTCTTTCAAGGTCTCTCGGAACTGAGAAGATGTTGATATGCCATTTAAGATAAGTGATCATATAATCCTCTGTTCTAGATATCAGCCGGACAGTTACATGGAACAATGTCTTACTTATTGTCCAACAATTTGTTTCCCGATTTCCAATTTGTTTGACAAAGAACTTAATTGAACACATCAACTTAGTTTTGACCAGGCCCGGTACATAGGTCAAAACAAAATCATCGAGGGGCCCAGATATCAACTTCTAATCCAAGAAGGAACAGATAAACTTCGACTCATATGTTTGTTCTACTACTAGTTGAATTATACACAAAAGTATGTTTTATAACATCGAGTTACCAATACGTTTTCGTACAATCAATGCATAATCAATTCATAGGCAACAAATCATATCTCTAGGTTTGAAGACTTATATGATATTACCGTCTCACGATCACTCGAGATAAAATTCCATGAAGTGATTCCAGTGAGCGTGGGTTGATTCCAATACTCAGAACTTATGAGCACTCATGAAGTGTTGTCTTATATCCTGACACCTACAACCAACTTCATGACAGTCTTACTTCATATCTACTTCCAACATATGAATGACTGTGGAAAGTTTGAATAATATGTGAAACCACAACATACTATTCTAGAAATCAAAACATGCAAAAGAAATTATAGTAAATGATTGACAAAAGATAGTAACACTTTACTCATAAATAAACACAACTTTTATTCATCATCAAATGTCAATTACACTTTACAAATTTCATAATTTATCTAACTACTAAAACTAATATCATCCTTCAGCCCTATGCTCCGAGCATGCTGGAGATGCTTAACCCTACTCAGTCCCTTCGTGAGGGGATCTGCTGGGTTCTCATCCGATGATACCCTCTTTGCCACGAGGATTCCTTCTTCTATGCGATGTCTGATAAAATGATATTTTCTGTCGATGTGTTTGGATCTCCCGTGATCCGTTGGTTCCTTGGCTAAGGCAACAACACTTTCACTATCGCAGAAAATTTCCATGGGCTCCTTTATAGCTGGTACTACTCCAAGGTCTCCTATGAAGTTCTTCAGCCATATTGTCTCCTTTGCTGCCTCGTTTGCTGCTATATACTCTGATTCACAAGTGGAATCAGCCACTGTCTCCTACTTGGAACTCTTCCAAGTGATAGCTCCTCCGTTCAAGGTAAAGACCCAACCCGACTGAGAGCGGAAATTATCCCTATCAGTCTGGAAGCCAGCATCAATATACCCTAGAACTCTCAAGTCATCACTCCCGCCGAGGATAAGGACCCAATCCTTAGTCCTCCATAAGTACTTGAGGATATTCTTTACCGCAGTCCAATGTGCCTTGCCAGGGTTCCCTTGATACCTACTAATCATGCTCAAGGCAAAGGCTACATCAGGTCGAGTACACTTCATAGCATACATGATCGAGCCTACTGTCGAAGCATAAGGCACTCAACTTATTTCTGCTATCTCAGCCTCAGTACTCAGGCTTTGTGTCTTACTCAATCTGGCATTACTCTGGATGGGTAACTCTCCTTTCTTGGAGTTCTGCATGCTGAATCTCTTCAACACCTTGTCCAAGTAGGTACTTTGACTAAGTCCAATTAGTCTTTTACTCCGGTTTCTCAAAATCCTTATCCCTAGAATATAGGCAGCTTCTCCTAGGTCCTTCATAGAGAAACACTTCCCAATCTAGGACTTAACTTCTTGCAGAGTTGGGATGTCATTTCCTATGAGTAGTATGTCATCC